TTACGGGACTTAAATGTCTGGGTTCCCAGGACCTAAAAACTCAAACCAAACCACAGGATATGATGGTTTAGCATAAATCCAGGCAACGCTCCCGTTCAAGAAGCAAGATCTTCTGACTTTCTCCAAAACAAACACGTTGCAGTTCACTTTTATCTCCACTTCATTGACTGGAAAACGAAGTCTTTTATTCAAAATAAAATACTTTCATTTAAACTAAGTTTCATTCAATTCCCCAGGGCTTCTTTGCAACTTGTGCAAGAGAGAAAGGCTAATCCTCACTTCCTGGAAAAGTTCTATGTTCACCAGATTTCTGTTGAGGACCAACTCAACGCTTTCTTTAAAATCACAGGGGGGCTCCTGTGAGACTGACGTTTTAATTTAATGAAGAGAAGGACGAGGGGGAACATGATAGCAGTGTTCCAATATCTCAGGGGCTGCCACAAAGAAGAGGGAGTCAAGCTATTTTCCAAGGCGCCTGAAGGCAGGACAAGACGCAACGGGTGGAAACTCATCAAGGAGAGAAGCAACCTAGAACTAAGGAGAAACTTCCTAACAGTGAGAACAATTAACCAGTGGAACAATCTGCCTCCAGAAGTGGTGAATGCTCCAAAACTGGAAGTTTTTAAGAAGAGACTGGACAGCCATTTGTCCGAAATGGTATAGGGCTTCCTGCCTGAGCAGGGGGTTGGACTAGATGACCTCCAAGGTCTCTTCCAACTGTATTATTATTATCCCTGCCGTGAATTTGATCAAGCAATCACCCAAGGACCTCAAGCAAGAGGCCTCCTTCCCATTCCCAACTACAGGTAGTTCTCACCTTACGACCACCACTGAGCTCCAAATTTCTGTTTACAACTTTTCTTGCCACGGCTGTTAAATGAATCACTGCAGTTGTTGGTTGTTAAGGGAATCTGGCTTCCCCGCTGAGTTTGCCTGTCAGAAAGTCGCAAAAGGGGGAATCACGTGACCCTGGGACACTGCAACCGGCATAAGTACAAGTCAGTTGCCAAGCGTCTGAATTTTGATCCCCTGACCACGGGGATGCTGCAAGAGTCGTTAAGTGTGAAAAAGGGAGTCATAAGCCGCTTTTTTCAGCGCCGTTGTCACTTCGAACGATCACTGAACAAATCGTTGCGAGTTGAGGACTACCTGCGTTAGTTTTCAGGTGGCTTGACTTTGAATTTATTTATTTTTTTAGGGCTATTGTTGCCTCTTCGGGTATTTTTAAATAACAACTTTAAATGTAATCCCAATGGAAAAATAATAATAACCTGGAAGCCTAGCTGGAAACAGGTCTCCCAAAGCCTCTGTTCCCATCACGATGAGCTCTAACGCCTGAGTGACCTGTCTCCATGATCCAGAATTATGGCGCGGAGCACAGGCCATACAAAGAGAAGGATAGACTTGGGCCCTTGATAAGCAACTCAGTGAAACAGCTAAAGTGAAATGTCATTTCCTCCCTCGACACAGTCACTCCCCACCAAAATAGAACATGCTTTGTCTGGGAAGCTGTCAACAGGGGAATCTATATTTCATACCTTCCAGAAAAGTACCAGGCTTGCATTATCAAAGAGGAATGACCAAGGTCAACGTGGACGGTTCTTTGTTTGAACGGCCTGCTCTCAAAACAAAAACAAGATTGCCATGTAGTGACACAGGGAAACAAGACGTACAATTTTTTTGAAGGAAAAAAAAAAAAGCTGGCTGAATCCATACAGCTCATTAAGCCACGGGTTTGTTTAACCATAATCTGTTGATACAGCACAACTGGCTTGATGGATCGGCACATCAGCCAAAAGCAAACAAATTGTGTAAAGGCTCAGAACAAGTCAGTGGCTGCCTCTTTTCAAGTCATCAAGTCTTTACAATAGCCTGTTAATAGGACATCTTCAGTTGAAAGCATTGGGGGAAGTTCTGGTGAATAATCTGAAGGTCTGGGTAAAGAACAGCTTTGGGTCGAAAGTAGCCCTTCTCAACTGTTTTATCCTAGAGGGAGCTCTGAAATTATTTTCAGGTCTTAGGGAATCCCTTATTGTTGTTAGTTGCGAAGTCGTGTCTGACCCATTGCGACCCCATGGACAACGTTCCTCCAGGCCTTCCTGTCCTCTACCATCTTCTGGAGTCCCTTTAAGATCACGCCTACTGCTTCAGTGACTCCATCCAGCCATCTCATTCTCTGTCGTCCCCTTCTTCTATTGCCCTCCATCTTTCCCAGCATCAGGCTCTTCTCCAGTGAGTCCTTCCTTCTCATTAGGTGGCCAAAGTACTTGAGTTTCAACTTCAGGATCTGGCCTTCTAAAGAGCAGTCGGGGTGGATCTCCTCTAGGACTGACCGGTTTGATCGCCTTGCAGTCCAGGGGACTCGCAGGCATCTTCTCCAGCACCAGAGTTCAAAGGCCTCCATTCTTTGGCACTCAGCCTTTCTTATGGATCCAACTTTCACAGCCATACATTGAAACAGGGAAAACCATGGCCTTGACCATATGTACTTTTGTTGGCAGGTTGATGTCTCTGCTTTTTAGTATACTGTCTAGATTTGCCATAGCTTTCCTCCCCAGGAGCAAGCGTCTTTTAATTCATCACAAAAAAAATAGAAAAACTTCACCCTACAAATTGTTTCTAAGCACACATTCCACATTGTACAACATCTAAAACAGCAAGAGGGTGGACTGGCAACTGAGATGCGGTCTGTAAAAATTCCCACCACTACGAACACTAGCATCGCACAGTACGTGACGTTCAAAAAACCATTTTTTAAACAAATCACAATCTTTCATGGAGCCTTCAAATGGAGGAAAATCGGTCCAGAATGGTGTTTCTCAACTTTGGCACCTTCAAGATATATGGACTTCAACTCCCAGAATTCTCCATGGGGTTGCTGCAACGGTCGTGTGAAAAATGATCGTAAGTCATTTTTTTCAGCGCTGCTGTAGTCACTAAGCTTAAGTCAAGGACCACATGTAGGTGATTCTTTAGTCCTCCTAACTAGAATAGTTTTTTTCAGATTTCTTGAGAGGATGTGGAAGGTAGCCATCCAAAAGCGCTTTTAAATGACACCTAAAAGGATTTATAACCACCTATTGATCATGTTTTGTTTTGTTTTTTAAGAAAAAGGATGCCCTCCCTTCCAACTATTTTGGTAAGTCTGCCGGTATAATATCTAGCATGTCATTTAAAATTAACATCTGAACACTGGAAATATAGATTTCTTCCCCCATGCTTCTATTTTATGAGAGAAAGGAAAAAAGAATCCAATGATTGCTAAAGGCAGAATCAAACTGCCTTTTATAGTTTCAAAAAGGGAAGCATGAATACTTTATATATTGGTGCTATCGGTCATCTCTTACATTCTGTCAAGGCACTGTAAAGTTTTAGCAAGCTAAGACTGAATGTTCCCGGCCTTAAAATGTACCCAGTTACAAAAGCATGTGAAAATCCACTGACACAGACAACATGCTAAGACATGCTTTAATCACAAGTTATTAAATAAACCACCATTGGCTGATTTCACACAACACATTAACCCGGAACCAAAGGGGGGGGAAAAACCCCAATAAAACAGTAAATCAACTTAAACTAGTGTCAAGGCCTATAGATTTCCAGCTCTGATTTAAGTAGTTCATCTGAGCTATAAGGCAATACCCTAACCCACTTGGCAAGGAACATTCACATGTTATTAAATCCGGCATTCAGACTACTTATTGCCCAGTTAAACCTGAACACAACTATTTTTGCCTAAGTGCAAAAGATGAAAAGGCAGAACTCTACTTGAATCATTCCTATCAGTGTGCCCAGTTCAAGATTAGTAGCAACATTTCCCTAAGAGAGTGAAATCTCAGCTTCAAAGTCAAGTAGAGCAGACAAGACCCCATCCTGACATCGCCAAGCCCCCACCTCAAATCTTCCAAATGAGAAACAATGGCAACTACAACTCTACTTCAAGCAGACAAGAGCGTGCAACATGCCTAAAGCCTACATCCACATCAGCTGCAGCCGGAATAAAATGGAAGTGAAAATTGCCTCAAGGCTGGATGGGATGCTGGTTTTGAATTTAAAGATCAGTTCACCATCCCACTATGTTACAGTTGGTTGAGCGTGAATGCTAAGTTCTGCTATAAACCACAGGTTACCGGATGACAAACAGCCCTGGTTGCAAGCCGTATTAAGCCAAAGCCAAATAAACCAAGCAAGATGGGATCCCAGATGTGCAGGACATCCAGCTTCACATAGAGATAGAAAATTAACAGTAGCCTTTCAACTATATCTTGAATTCTGAATCGGCGTTAACCCCTTCGGTGGTAGGAACGGTCAGAAAATCATGATACTTGCTCTGCTATATAATTAGGAAATGAACAGCATAGAATCCCATCTAGCCTACCAGAATCCTGTTTTCAGCCATCTCAAATTCTCAATCCTTAGACTGATGTTTTTCAACCTTGGCAGCTTGGCGATGGGTGGACTTCAACTCCCAGTTTCCCCAGCCACTGAGCCAGGAACTCTGATCGAGGGATGCTGTGCTGGCTGGGGAATTCTGGGAGTTGAAGTCCACCCATCTTCAAGTTACCAAGGTCAAGAAACACTGCCTTGAATCGGGGTCCCCAACCCTTGGGCTGTGGACCAGTATCAGTTGGCAGCCTGTTGGGAACTGGGCCATGAAAGCGGCAGGCGAAGGTGCAAACCTTCATTTGCACCTGTGCAGGATCTAGGTTGGGTGCACGAAACCACCCCCTCTTTTTCCACCCCCACCCCCACTGCCACCACCACTGCAGGTCAATGGAGACAGAAAGATTGGGGACCGCTGCCTTGGATAATACTCTGAAATCTGCAATTCAAGAGACTCCATGCTTTGGTCGTTGTCTGTTCCTATTTTTACACACTGCAGAGGTGGTGAGACTGACCCCATTCCCCGCCACTCATCCCTTCAACCACTGCCCAAAAGCATGAAAGGTGAAGGGGGCATTTCTCTCCCCCCCCCCTCCTCCTCCTCCCTTCTCCACTACCTGCATTCGGTGAGATTACAGCAGTAACTGCCACTTCTCCGGCTATTCCGTGGATCGGATCGAAATTCATTCCTGGACTTCCGGAGGCTGAAGTATTCGGTCAGCTTCCCAAAAGACGACATGGCACCAACACAGTCCAACCTTCGGTGTGTGGACATATGCCTGGACCACCCTGGGCGCCCAGCGATGGGCTACAGCCAGCGTGCTTGCTTAAGTCCCCAGATGTGTCACCCAACCCTGGCTGTTGAAGAGAGTTGGAAAGAGAGAGAGAGAGAAAAGCAAGGAGTTTAGCCAGAACAAGCAACAATCTCACAGGGCTGGATCCTGTGGACTCAAAAGCAACACCCGTCAGGGAGATATTATTAATTAAGGACATCCTCATGGCGCCCCGGAGTGGGGGAGGGAAGGGCAAAAAAAAACCAAAAACCTTTGGCACTGACAAAATGCATTTCACAGTTCTTGCTTTAAAGAAAAGGTTTTTGGCACAAAGAGGTGCATTTACATAAGAAAGTGGAGGGGGAGCTGAGTTTAATTAAAATGGAGGCTGGGTGGCTCTTTTAGCAGGGACCTTACGAAGGAGGAACTATACAGTGCAACAGTAAAAGGTGTTAAAAAAAAAAAAACAACCCTGGGTTGCAAGCTGGGAAAAGCAATTTTCTCTCTTTTTCAAAAACCAGTGGGCCAGGGATGCTGATCCGGGGAACGCAGAAAAGAATCTGCTGCCTTTAAGAACAGATGAAAAGGTGGGGGGGAACACACACACACAGAGGTCATCCTAAATTCATTAAAACTTTCAGGAGGGTCACATTATTAACCTTTAACCAGGAGAGGAACATTTGGATAAAAAGAAGGAGGAAATATTGGGACAGGGGCATATTTAATGCACAGTGTAAATATTACGACCGAAAAGAAGATGGGTATGAAATGTCAAATTAACCAACTACTCTTTGCCAACTGTTGTGGGTGCCATATTAAAAAAAAAAAAAAGACACACAAACTGCTCTTTGGGCTGCCTCAAGCCGCATCCGAGAACAGAGGAGGGTTGGGAACCGTCACCCAATTTCCCTGAAAACAATTTTATTTTCCGTAGCAAACCTCTGCGGCTTCATCCATCCGACGAGCGAGACGGCCAGCTTAGAAACAGAGCGTCCAGCCTCAACTGCCCGCCAGCCCTCTCCCCAAAACAAGCACAGCTGCTTCCGAAAAGGGGTTGCAAAGGGGGGGGGAGGAGATTTCCCTGCGTTTCCCTAGGACTCCAACTGCCTTTGAAGAAACACTATAAGCCATCATGGCAAATCCTCTTTCCTCCGTTCTCTCCCTTTGGGAACAGGATTGCTCTCAGGGGCTCCCTCCCCTCTAATTCAACACCTCTCCGTGCGTACCAGGACCCCCTCTTCCCTTGTCCCCCTTTCTCCTCTGGATGGTTGCAGATGCCTGAACACATGCCCAGCGGAACATCTGAAACACACGCACGGACAGATACACACAGAGATGCACAGAAAGAGAGGGGAAAGCCGGGGAGGGGATGGGTGGGTGGGTGGGTGGCATGGTGTGAGGGAGAAAAACAAACCCCAATTAAACAACAATGTCTATGCACAAGGCACCTGCTGACTTCCCCCAGCTGCACAGCTTTACGAGGGTCTGTTGTGTTTGGCAACCACTTCCTGCAGTTTCCAAAGGAATATCTCTCTCTCTCTCTCTCTCTCCCTCTTTCTCTTTCAGCTGCTTGGCAGTAGTAGGTTGAAAAAGGAAGAGAGGGGGTAGGAAGGGGAAGAGAGGGAGGGATGGAGGGAGAGAGGGAGGGATGGAGGGAGAGAGGGAGAGAGAGAGAGAGAGAGGAAGAGAGAGAGAGAGGAAGAGAGAGAGAGAGGAAGAGAGAGAGAGAGAGAGAGACCAACCAAACCTCAGGCAGACTGTCTTGCTTCTTGCTGAAGATTTTATGAGACCAAAATGCAACCTGGAGAATTTCTTTCCCTCTTCCATCCGATGCCTTGAAAGATCCCCCCCCCCTTCCTCTCCTCCGGCCAAAGTCAGATTAAAAACCACCTCTTGCTTTGGGGCTGTATTAATAAATAAACCCATCCATCCATTTACTTGCCAGGAGAAGACTCCCCCCCCCCCCAAAAAAAAACCAGCACTGGCTCAGAAGCGCCTGGATCTTCTCATAGGTCCACTCCGCCTGGAGCGCTCCCTGTCCCTTCTCCGAGGGAGGAACGGCCACCCAAACAAACAAAACTGCGACCTGCCCAAAATGAGGTCGACCTGCCCAAAATGAGGTCGGGGAAAGCCGAGTGAAGGGTGGCACGGAGATGGGGAGGGAAGCCAAGGAGGGGGTGGTAGCAGAGAGGACAGATGGAGTGGGGGGAAGAAGAGAGAGACAACAGCAGCATTTTTCAGAGTCCCGGTCCTCCAGCAAGGCTCTTCGAGATGCAAACGGCATTTTTTTCGGGAATTAAATAGGACATCTTGGGAAGCTTTTCACCATGATTGCTGATGCAGGAAAGAACTGGCAGCTCCTAAGCAACACAACCGGGAAGGGGAGGTAACTTATGGCTTACTTGCGAGGTGAGGAGGTTCAGACTTGGATTGAGAAAGGAGAGGAATTGTCACATCATCTTTGCATCTTCTGGATCATCAGGTCAGAGGCGCAAGTATCCGCACAGAGATTCTGTTAGTTTGACTGACTGCACTTTCCCGTCAGCTTGAGTGAGCGATGAAAGTGGCTTCCTGGAGCATCTCCTGCAGGATTCTGACAGGCAGGTGAAGACAGGGGGTAGTCAAATGTAATTAAGAGCAAGCTGATTCTAACAACGTTACCAGCTGATGACTTGCAGGTGAAAATGGCTACCTGTCAGCTCATCCAGCAGCCCAAAACACTTTTCTTTTCAATGACCCAGCTTCTGGAGGAAAGCATTGTCCAACCGATGTTGGCTGATCTTATCAAGGGAAGCCAGATCTGACTTGTATCCTTCTCTGGTGGAAGACTATCAAGACATTCCCAGGGAGTCCAAAAAGAAAAGAAAAGAAAAGCATCCCCAAAAAGAAGGATGGGAAGTCATTTCCATGAAGTCATCCATCCATGATGTCATCTGAAACGGAGGTCACCTCAAGGGAACGCAACTGGGTATCGATGCTTTCATGTCAACCCAGGTCAGTTCAAGACAGCAGAAGAAACAGCAAGGGGGGAGGAGGAGGAGGAGGAGGAAAAGGAAGTTAAGGATCCCCAAAGAAAAGACAGAAATCTAATTTTAACCGAGTCAAAAGCAAACTGCATGGATCTGTGTCTTTCACATTTAATGTGCCAATGGTTATCCACCATTCATAGGATCAAGTGATCTTGTAAATAATGCATACTAGGCTGCATTAACAGAGGGATAGAATCAAGATCAGTGAAGTTTTAATACCACTTTACAATGCCTTGGTAAGACCACACTTGGAATACTGCATCCAGTTTTGGTCACCACGATGTAAAAAAGATGTGGAGACTCTAGAAAGAGTACAGAGAAGAGCAACAAAGATGATTAGGGGACTGGAGGCTAAAGCATATAAGGAACGGCTGCTGGAATTGGGTATGTCTAGTTTAATGAAGAGAAGGACGAGGGGGGACATGATAGCAGCCTTCCAATATCTCAGGGGTCGCCCCAAAGAAGAGGGAGTCAAGCTCTTCTCCAAAGCACCAGAAGGCAGGACAAGAAGCTAACCAAGGAGAGAAGCAACCTAGACCTAAGGAGAAATTTCCTGACAGTGAGGACAATTAACCAGTGGAACAACCTGCCTCCAGAAGTTGTGAGCAACACTGGAAGTTTTTAAGAAGAGACTGGACAGCCATTTGTCTGAAATGGTATAGGGTTTCCTACCTGAGCAGGGGGTTGGACTGGATGACCTCGAAGTTCCCTTCCAACTTTGTTGTTGTTGTTGTTGTTATGTCACCTGGTGCAATTGGTAGTTTAAAGGGGGGAAAGCCACCTTCCAACTATATTTAAAATGCAGATCTCCAAGAATAAAATACAGAGGTTTAAAAGCCAACACTCTTGTCCGTTTCACATCACTGATTGACGTAGGCATGGAACGAAAGAAAGTAAAATGCATGCCAGCGGAACACAGAATTCAAGCCGGCTCATTCATCAGCTGCTATTTTCGAGGAGGTGTTCAAGCGCTAGTACTCCAATATGATCAGCAAGTTGTCGCTCTCTTTAGAAAATCACTGGAGGGAAGATTGCCATGGATTGCAAGAGATCCGGTCATGATCTGATAGAAAGGATGACCCAGGGCATCCTTGGAACAAAGCAAGGAGAGCGTATGGGGCACACCTAAAGGTGCTTTTCCAAAAGGCAGCTGGACTTTCTTGTTTGTTTGTTTTCTCCTGTCAGGTGCTGGGGAAATCGGGAAATTCGGGCAGTTCAAATGAGTAGGAAGATTTATTGCAAGCCTAAGCTCTCTACAAAAACCTGACCTACTAACGGCCAACGGAAATGAGCGGGAGATAAGGCAGGCATTCAAGATGGGCTGGGCTTAGATTTCTTGTGGGCATGCAGGGACTCGGGACTTATGACGCGTTTGATCCTTCTCTCGGGCTCATCCTGGTCATCTCCTACATTTCCTCGAAAACGTTTTGCTTCTCATCCAAAAAAGCTTCTTCGGTTCACTTCAAGGTGGAAGTCAAAACCAGAAAACCATCTGGATGACTTTCGGCCAGTCCTTTCCCCTCAGCCCAACCCACCTCCCAAGGTTGCTATTGTGAGGAAGATAGAAGAAGATGGAAGGTGTGCTAGATATGTTTGCTGCCTTGAGTTATAAGTACTAAAGGTGGGGTACAAATAAAGAAATAAGTGGTCCCCAAGCACTTCAGCTGGATGCAATATTGTCTCGTATTGTCTCGCACTGTCTCAGCATAGATACAGCCCGAATAAGGATTATATTACACTTCAGTCTGTTGATATCTCGAGGCACTTTATAGCTTTGATTTCATGCACAATATAAGCCATGGCTTAGTTCATTGTGGGGAAACCGTCCAAAGGCTCCATTCCTCCACATCTTTCACATGTATTTATCAACTTTAATTGTATCACATGACACTTCCAACGTGGAATGAATTGATCCTCGTACTGTGCCCAGGCAAGTGGTTGTGTTCAATCTGCAGAATTGGGCAGCGGAGTTTGCCTATCACAATATTTCGCACAATATTTACACAATTCTATAGTTATGGGACAAGCACAAGTACAGGTAATCCTCACTTAGCAATCATTCAGTTACAATAGAGATGAAGAAGTAACATTGCTATTAATTCTCACAGTTACAATTTGTAAAACCAAGGAAAACGGACGTCAGATTGTAAACAGAGTTGCAGTTTCACTTTGGCCACTGCTTCGCTTAATGATTGAGTCTCCAGCCCCAACTGGGGTCATTAAATGAGGACTACCTGTAAACTACAGTATATATAAACCTTAGGATGAGATGCAAAACCCAGTCACAAATTCACCATAAAACCAAGGATTATTCCCTTGTAAAAATTGAGATTCCAAGCTTACTTCCTTGGACTCATTCTAACTGCCCAAATTCTGCCTTCTTTATTTATTCCTAATTATCAGAGAACTGCAGAAATTTCCCGGGAATGGCTCCCCATTCAAGCAAAGCCAGCAACACCAAGATGACTGATATTTTTCTTCTTAAAGAAAAAAAAAAACACACCTCTCCTCTCCATTAACTGAGCTGTAGGAAAAAGGATCTAGGTAAATGTGACAGCTTTCTTTCCCTGAGAGAGTTTAGCAGCACAGGAAGAGGCAATTTAAACTGTAGAAGCCAAGGAACTTTAAAAGCTCTCTGCTTCCACTGAAATTAAGAGTTCCACCCAGCCACTAGAAAAGCCAAAAGAGTCTCTGCAGAGACTCTTCACAGCATGCAGCATAAATCCAGGGCTGTTGAAACTCTTTCCATCCATCCATCCATCCATCCATCCATCCATCCATCCATCCCTTCTTGCCTTGCCTTCAGATGCTATGGAGAACAGAGGTTACAGACGTTGTTACGTTAACTGCGAGGACTGCACCATCGTAACTTTGGTCCCCAAAAGCAGGGGTCCCCCACCCCCGGCCCGTGGTCCAGTACCAGGCTGCGGCATGCCAGCAATCAAGCCGCACACACAAGCAAAGCCCCATCCATGAGATGCAGGCAGCACACAAAACCACGCACCCTCCGGTCTATTGAAAAACCTATCTCCACAGAGCGGTCCCCCTGGCACCCCAAAAGAATGCCTGTAAGTCAAGGACTGCCTGTATACAGTATTTCAGGTCATTCAAATGGCACTTCCATCTATTTTAAACTTGAAAGCGCCGATCGTGCCTGCCTCAAGAATGATTTTTTTTAAAAAAAGTTCATTAAGCAGGATCTTAATGACTTATATACTGCCCCATCGTGCTTTTCAGCGTATTGCCCCCAATAATCTTGGTCTTCATTTTATGGCCTTAGAAGGATGGAAGGCTGAATCAACCTCATCAGCATCGTCAGGATCCAAGTCCAGGCTGTGGGCAGAGCTAGCCTGCAATTCTGCATTCTAACAACTGCCCCACTAGGGCTCAGCGGGGTTAGGGATGGGGAGGGTTTGCGTATAGGATACAAAGCATTCTTCCCATCTTCACCTGAAAACAGAAACACCTCTAGCGTGTCTCTCCAAAGCCAGAACACTCCCGCCGTTTGGTTTTTGACAAATGCTTTCCGACAACACAGGGAGCTGAAGCCGAAACGCTCAAAGGACAACCTGCGTAATGCTTAAAAACCAACCTGAAACAAAGCTCATTCAATGCTGCAACAGGGCTGTGTCCCTGTCAAAACAAATAAATTTCCCAGGCACATGTGATAAAGGAAAACACTGAAACCTTTGCCTGTTGTCATCAGAAAGGAAATCAATATCTACTGAAGAAAATTATCTCTTTCTAGAAGTAAATCTGTGGGCTCCATGGGGAATTCTCTAAGGCTACCTTGCCTTTTCTTTCCTGGAGATGGGTTCTTCCAGTCTCTCTTCCCTTCTTCTGTCTTGTCAGGGAAGGAAGGAAGGAAGGAAGGAAGATTAGATTTAGATTAGATTAGATAACCTTTATTGTCATTTTTTTACTGTGGGCACAACGGCACACATTAAAAATGAAATTTAGTTGCTTCCTCTCACAGTGTACACATACATAACACACATTTAAAACGTACTATATACAACGTGAGTATAGAGCTTCACCCTTACATATAAGCAAAATATAAATATTAATCACTGTCCATCTTGAATACATAGCGGAAGGAAGGAAGGAAGGAAGGAAGGAAGGAAGGAAGGAAGGAAGGAAGGAAGGAAGGAAGGAAGGAAGGAAGGAAGGGAGGGAGGGAGGGAGGGAGGGAAAGGGAAGCAAAGCAAAGCAAAGCAAAGCAAAGCAAAGCAAAGCAAAGCAAAGAGGAAGGAAGGAATTCTTTATAACAAACAACATATGTACCTGTAAGATTACTAGCCAAGAAAGAACCGATTAATATATTTTTTTTTTCAAATGTGTTGGATGTTACAGAACAAAACACAGGAGAACCAACTTCCATGTATAACCACAACAAGGTTGCAACCTACAAATGCAATATTATCAGTTATCAAAGCCATCTCTTATAATACCTCTTAATTCTTCTGCAGTTCTGAAACCTGCGCAGGAACTTGTATTTTAACACAACAAACAGCATATTGCACTACTTATCCATGTTCTTGCTACCCTAGTACAGCAGTTTTTGCCATACATCCCTTTTTCTGACAAGGTTAAGCTGTTCGTGAGGATATATTCCCAGAGGTCTGGAGGCAGATTGACTTAGATTTTTTTAAGGAGCAGTTTTATAGGAACTCTAAGCCTCAAAATGGCTTGTTCCTTTTGTAAACATAGCCTGACAATAGCCAGAAATTTAGATGTATAAAGGTAAAGAAGAAGGAGGAGGAGGGGGGAGGAGGAGGAGGAGGAGGGAAGAAGAAGAAGAAGAAGAAGAAGAAGAAGAAGAAGAAGAAGAAGAAGAAGAAGAAGAAGAAGAAGAAGAAGAAGAAGAAGAAGAAGAAGAAGAAGAAGAAGAAGAAGAAGAAGAAGAAGAAGAGAAGAAGAAGAAGAAGAAGAGAGGGTGCTCTTATCTGATGTAAAGAAGGAGAAGGAGAAGGAGAAGGAGGAAGAAGAAGAAGAAGAAGAAGAAGAAAGAAGAAGAAGAAGAAGAAGAAGAAGAAGGAGAAGGAGAGGAGAAGCGAGAAGGAGAAAGGAGATAAGAGGAGGAGGATGAAGAAGAAGAAGAAGAGAAGAAGAAGAAGAAGAAGAAGAAGAAGAAGAAGAAGAAGAAGAAGAAGAAGAAGAAGAAGAAGAAGAAGAAGAAGAAGAAGAAGAAGAAGAAGAAGAAGAAGAAGAAGAAGAAGAAGAAGAAGAAGAAGAAGAAGAAGAAGAGGTGCTCTTATCTGATGTTCCTTCCCACAAGGCAGCTGGGGTTGGATGAACTGGGGGCAAAGTAACACATATTGCTTTCTCTCGTCCCCTTGATGGTTAGCTCCAGAGCAGTTGAGGGCTAGCTGGTGTTCACTTTATTCAATTGTGATAATTCGGCTGGCTGAGACATGGAGAAAATTAACTCTTGTACAGTCTCCATAGACATGCCAGTGGGTGGCCAAAAGAAAACTTTTGAGACTCTAGAACGCATGCAGAGAAGAGCCACAAAGGTGATTAGGGGGCTGGCGGCTAAAACATATGAAGAACAGTTGCAGGAATTGGGTATGTCTAGTTTAATGAAAAGAAGGACTAGGGGTGACATGATAGCAGTGTTCCAATATCTGAGGGGCTGCCACAAAGAAGAGGGGGACAACCTATTCTCCAAAGCATCTGAAGGCAAGACAAGAAGCAATGGATGGAAACTAATCAAGGAGAGAAGCAACCTAAAACTAAGGAGAAATTTCCTGACAGTGAGAACAATTAACCAGTGGAACAGCTTGCCTCCAGAGGTTGTGGGTGCTCCATCACTGGAGGTTTGTAAGAAGAGATTGGACAGCCATTTGTCTGAAATGGTGTTGGGTTTCCTGCCTGAGCAGGGGGCTGGACTAGAAGACCTCCAAGTTCCCTTCCAACTTATCATTATTATTATTATAATTGAAAGTAGGGAATCTGCATTTAACCCAACCCAAAAGCCGAGGATCCTAAGGCTTTCCTGATCCACCTTGATTGATTCCTATCACCAGTTTCCAGCAGCAAAACACCCCAGAAAGTTTAAAGTTGGAATTAGGACCTGCTGCCCCAATGCAAACCAAGATTCAAGAACCCAAAAATAAATCCTTGTTAATGAACCTGGCTTTTAGAGTTTCATTGGACTAAGCAAAAAATGGGCTTCTTTTGACCTGCTCTAAGAGGAAACAAATGGGTGTTGAGCAGCTTGTTCACAGGATGTCCAAAATCCTGGGTCAACTTTCATCGCAAAGACTGGAGAACAGCTTCTTAAAAAGCTTAACAAATCTATTACAGCCGAAGACGCCTCCAGGCATGTCCTCAGATTGCAGGCTTACATACCTTCCTGAATACCTGTAATTTTTCTTCCTCTGCACTCAAATTTATATTATCTAGGATTGTGGAACGGAAGGAAACACACGCCAGGCTCATCCATCAAAGCCACTGGAAAAACCCCAGCCTCTTTTCTTGAAAGGACATCATAACCCAGAAGTGGGTCGACGCAGCCCTGTAAAACGGCAAAAAGGCCACAGTGAACTAACTTTACATCATTTTATGCCTTGACTTGTTTTCTTCTTTGTTCCTTTTTTTTTGTGTTTGTGTGCTGTGTCATTCTTTTTTGTCTTTGGTCCCTGAAGGGGAAGAGCCTCTCCAGTTATTAATTCTTCTAAATCACCCTGGACTATTTTTGGAGAAAGAGCAGGGAAATATCCTTTTTTAAAAAATGCACTCGTCCATGGAAGACAAACAAAAAGAAAAAGAGACAGGTGTGAGTGTGGATGTGTTAAGGCACCTCTACCGATCTTGGAAATCACTTAATAAATTAGATTTTCATTCATTAAGGGATTTTCTTTTCCCAGTTTTCTTTTTAATCAACTTAATTCAACAGTAGCATCTTCGACATTTAAGGAACCTGAAATCAGGTCCTTTATCTGATTCAGAAAAGAAATGTATTTAAATCCAGGTTCAAAGGGAGAAATAAGTTTTGGTTAAAAAAAAAAAAGCAGATTCTTTTACGAGACTGTTCTGCAAGACAAACTGAATTTCAATGTACACGATGAGTTTTGCTCTCGAGCAAAGAAGAAGCATCAAAAAGACCACAGGTAGTCCCCCAAACGTATAACCACAATTGAGCCCAAAATTTATGTTGTTAAGTGAGACATTTGTTAAGTGAATTTTGCCCCATTTTATGACCTTTCTTGCCACAGTCGTTAAGCGAATCATTGCAGTTGATAAGTTAAGACCCCGATTGTTAAGTGAATCTGGGTTCCCCCATTGACTTTGCTTGTCAGAAGGTCGTAAAAGGGGATCCCATGATCCCGGGACACTGAAATCGTCATAAATATGAATCAGTTGCCAAGCATCTAAACTTTGATCCACATGACCGTGGGGATGCTGCGATGGTGTGACAAATGGTCATAAGTCACTTTTTTCAGTGAGGTTGTAACTTTGAAAGGTCACTAAATGAACTGTCGTAAGTCGAGGACCACCTCCAGATCTCTTTCTGTTCTTTGGCAGAGCTGGAGAAAGAGGGTGGGGTGGGAAACGGGCAGCAACTCTTTGAGAGGCGCAGGAACAGAGAAAGTCAGGTAAATCCTAATTCGCCGTTTCACCATTTTACAGCCTGCTGTCTTTGTAAATTTATCTCGAGCAAAGTGCTAACATCGTTAACAGCTACACTGCTGCTTCAAGCATGAAAAATGAATGGAGCCTTTCGACCAAATCAGTCACTCCCTTGTCCACCGAAATATGAAAGAGTAAGAAGAGAAAAAGCATAAAAATCATAAATCTTCACCTGGGGCACCTCTAGTGCAGCAACCGTTGCCAGGAGCTGACAAGATCAAAATAGCAAAACAGATCAAAGCAATGGAGATTTATGGGGATATAAAGAGACGGTCTAAGCACAGTGGCTGGGATTCGCAGGTGAAGCAGCGAGCCTCACTTTAATTAGCTCGATTTGAGACAGCCTGCTACTGTGTGAACGCAACATATATTATGTTCAGTCAACAAACAGGATTAAACAAGGATTTGGGGGCAATAGATGCACCGGGTCTATTCCCCCCCCCCATCTTTTCTCTCACACTAAGCTGCAAACTGTTCATCTGATAGAAATTTCCTTCTTCAAAGGAAGAAAAATGAGAGTTCATTTTTCAAAAATAAAATAAAAAATAAAAACGTGGCTTTCGGGCAGATTCAAAGGTGCTTTTCCAAAAGGTAAAACTGGACTTCCTTGGATTTTTTTTTTTTCTCCTTGAAAATGTTTCCATTCTCATCCAAAAAGCTTCTTCGGGTCTGAGAAGGTTTCCCCCACACACACACACCCAAGGGGGAAAACTTAACTCCTATTTTGGCATCATTGTGCTTAGGCATGGATACCTCCAGGAGACACAGCAATGCCCCCAAACAGATTGTGGGAAACAAACATTTGTCCTTTTTACAAGAAAGTATCCTTCGGAACATTTCGTGGGCAAGCTTCTCGCTAAAACAGCAGACTGATTTCAATCAAGCTTTTAATATTTCCAAATCAAAGCCGGAGCAATGGCTTCCTAGCACTACTCAAACATTGGATTCACAGCTCAGTAATTCTGCTAATGATTGCCAGTTAAAGATAGGCACCGTTGGGCTACTGTGGAGCCATTTTATTTGAGGACCAGCGTTGTGACCTCTCAGAGAAACACAAACATTAAAAGATGAAAACGGTGTTCACAAATGCTGCAGGAACTGCAGCCATAACCACAGGAAGGACCAAATAGTTGTTATTATTATTATTAGAAAGCAGCGCTATTCTCAAGCCAACACATCTCATGAGGTTGTTCTGCGGCCGTGTGTTAAATAATCCTCTCGGTGTCTATTCAGATGCAAGCCAGATGGTGCTGGATGGGACTCACACACATTTCAAGAATAGCAATTGCCAAAGAGAAATTGCAGTGCTGGGCCAAGTCATCTATTTATTTTTATCTATTTATTTTTATACCAATTAATTTTTTTGTTCTTATAAAAGATTCAAGGTGGCAAAGATATCCAATAGTCCCTCCACCTCCTATTTTCCCTACAACAGCCCTGTGAGGTGGGTTGGGCAGAGAAAGGAGGACTGGCCCAAGGACACCAGCCATCTTTCATGCCTAAGGCGGGACTAGAACTCACCATTTCCTGGTGATTGGCCCAAAGTCATCCAGTTGTCTTTCATGCCTAAGGCGGGACTAGAACTCGCCATTTCCTGGTGATTGGCCCAAAGTCATCCAGTTGGCTTTCATGCCTAAAGCGGGACTAGAATTCACCATTTCCTAGTGATTGGCCCAAAATCACCTAGCTGGCTTTCATGGCTAAGGTGGGACTAGGATTCCCAATCTCCTGGATTCTAGTTAATTAACCACTAAACTGAACAGATTGATGGAAACTAACGGATGGAAACTAACCAAGGAGAGAAGCAACCTAGAACTAAGGAGAAACTTCCTGACAGATTGAACAATTAACCAGTGGAACAACCTGCCTCCAGAAGCGGTGAATGCTCCAACACTGGAAGTTTTTAAGAAGAGACTGGACAGCCATTTTTCTGAAATGGTATAGGGTTTCCTGCATGAGCAGGGGGTTGGACCAGATGACCACCAAGGTCCCTTCCAACTTTTATTATTATTACTATTATTATTTAGTTTGTTCAATTCCAGCATTTTGAAGTGGACAGCTAAGAACCCTGTATCACTCCCCCCTCCCCCAGCAAAAGAACCCCTGAGTTGACAGGAATGAATCAGAAGTAAATATTTCATTTGGTCCAGCCATGTGGCAGATCCTACAAAAAACATATTTTTAGGCCTGACCAGTCTAGAATGTACAACTCGCTGGATTAATGGTGTTTTTATAGCTCAGGCTGCTGTTTATCAGCAGCAGCAGATGCAATGATGCTCTTTGTCTTGGGATCAATGCATCTCGGTTGCACTGCTTGATTTTATTTATTTGTCTCCCAGACAATTTCCAAAGAGGTTGGTCAATTCATAGGCTAGCTATCTTTGGTAGTTTCTGCCCACCAGGAACAATCTGACAGTCAGACCATTTCAGGTCCCACCAGTTAAACAGGTCATCTGAGGTAACCCAGAAAGTGAGATGTTTTTGCCACAATTCCTACTTGGAAGACATATATAAAGGTAAAGGTAAAGGTTTCTCCTCTCCGGTCATATCTGACTCAAGGGGACAACGCTCAGCCAGCATGACTATATGCCAAACACTACTACCTTCCCACTGGAGTGCTACCTATTTATCTACACTCATCTGCAGGCTTTCAAACTGCTAGGTTGGCAGGAGCTGAGGCAAGGAGCGGGAGCTCACCCCATCACATGGCGCTCGGGTCTTGAACCCAGGCTGTCAGCTTTCCAGCTGACAAGCTCCGTGTCTTTATCCACTGAGCCATTGTGGGCCCCTCAGAAGGCTCCATATCTTTATCCATTGCCATTGTGGCCCCCTCAAAAGGCTCCGTATCCTTATCCACTGAGCCATTGTGGCCCCCTCAGACGGCTCCATGTCTTTATCCACTGAGCCATTGTGGCCCCCTCAGAAGGCTCCGTGTCCTTATCCACTAAGCCACTGTGTCCCCCTCAGAAGGCATATATGGGATCCCCCTAACCATCTTGCTCAGACTAAAGAAGCTGCTTGGATAAGCAGCAAAACGTTTTGAACTGACAAGAAAAGAAGACCAGTTGCCATGACACACAGCTTCTAGATCATTCTACCTGCATGGTTGAGAACCTTCACTGGCACATCTGGGGACATGAACATGGCTTGTTTGCCTCCTCTGCATGCCACAGCCTTGCTGCAGAACACCTGCTACAGGTCCTCTTCTCGGCCAGTTCTGCATATTTCAGCCGGTGTGTCTGAGGCTGATAAAGTTGCCTGGGAGATGTTATTTATAAGGCTGCTAATGGAAGTCATCTTTAAGCACGGGGCATCGTTTTCAGATCATTAGCTCCAAGAGTAATTTGAATGCACCCGCACTACAGTATCAATAACAACACCCAGCAAAGCCCAGCAAAGAGAGATGGAATTGCTGCCATTCCTTTGACATTCGTAACTGCAGAAACAGAGAGAATGAAGCCAGTTTCAAACACTGTCATTTTCACAATGGCACTTAGCCTTTGAAGGCAGATATAGAGTATGGCATTAAAAAGAGGGGGGGGAGTAAAAGATTCTGCAGTTCGTTCAGCTCCAATATCAGCTCTGCTTCCTCCCGATTTTGCAGCTGAACTGCAGAACCTTTGCATCGATGAATGAAATTGCGGTTTGCACAGTCTGTTATCGCTCCCTACCACTTTGAGCAAATTGCCCACCTCAGGGTTTAACCTCCTATGTGTATTCTATAAGAACCGAATTAATTTATTCTGCAGCAACTAAATAAAGTCAGTGGATAAGAAGAGGTCAAAGCAGTTTGGTGTGGAGTTCAGGAGGAGCGGAAGGGGGAGGGGGGGAGGAGGAGGAGGAGGAGGAGGAGGAGGAGGAGGAGGAGGAGGAGGAAAAGAAGGAGGGGGAGAAGGAGGAGAAGAAGGAAAAGAAGGAGAAGAAGAAGAAGGAGAAGGAGAAGGAGAAGGAGAAGGAGGAGGAGAAGGAAAAGGAGGAGGAGAAGGAAAAGGAGAAGGAGAAGAGGAGGAGGAGGAGGAAAAGAAGGAGAAGGAGAGAGTAAACAGAGCTCTGGAGGAGAATATTTGTAGCTCAGGGAATGAGCTGTGGGGTCCTTGATGCCCTCTGAGATTGGTTGTTTTCTTGCAAATGTTTCATTACCCAACTAGGTAACATCAGTGTTAGATGGGTTTTACTTCCTGTTTATAAGCTTCCTGTCAGGACAAGCCACTTGTATATAAAAAGAGAAGAAACCCCACTCCTTTCTAACATGGATGATGTTACCTAGTTTGGTAATGAAAGGTCTGCCAGAAAGCCACCAAACTTAAGAGAGCATCAAGGATAATTCCTCCTCCTCCTCTTCT